TAACTTACAATTGTGACTGTCACTCAATTCTTACTTTATAACTCACAATTGTGACTTTATATCACTCAATTCTTCCTTTATAACTCACAATTGTGACTTTATATCACTCAATTCTTCCTTTATAACTCACAATTGTGACTTTGTCACTCAATTCTGACATTATAACTCACAATTCTGACTTTATAACTCACAATTGTGACTTTTTTTACTTAATTCTGACTTTATAACTCACAATTCTGACTTTATATCACTCAATTCTTACTTTATAACTCACAATTGTGACTTTTTCACTCAATTCTGACATTATAACTCACAATTCTGACTTTATAAATCACAATTGTGACTTTTTCTCTCAATTCTTACTTTATAACTCACAATTGTGACTTTTTCACACAATTCTGACTTTATAACTCACAATTGTGACTTTATAACTCAATTCTGACTTTATAACTCACAATTGTGACTTTATAACTCAATTCTGACTTTACAACTCACAATTGTGACTTTTTCCACTCAATTCTTCCTTTATAACTCACAATTGTGACTTTGTCACTCAATTCTTCCTTTATAATTCACAATTGTGTCTATCACTCAATTCTTAGCCTACTTTATAACTCACAATTCTTACTTTATAACTCACAATTGTGACTTTATAACTCAAATTTGTGACTTTGTCAGTCAATTCTGACTTTATAACCTACAATTCTGACTTTATATCACTCAATTCTTACTTTATAACTTACAATTGTGACTTTTTCACTCAATTCTTACTTTATAACTCACAATTGTGACTTTATATCACTCAATTCTTACTTTATAACTCACAATTGTGACTTTATATCACTCAATTCTTACTTTATAACTCACAATTGTGACTTTATATCACTCAATTCTTACTTTATAACTCAAAATTGTGACTTTATATCACTCAATTCTTCCTTTATAACTCACAATTGTGACTGTCACTCAATTCTGACATTATAACTCACAATTGTGACTTTATAACTCACAATTCTGACTTTTTTTACTCAATTCTGACTTTATAACTCACAATTGTGACTATATCACTCAATTCTTACTTTATAACTCACAATTGTGACTTTTTCACTCAATTCTGACTTTATAACTCACAATTGTGACTTTATAACTCAATTCTAACTTTACAACTCACAATTGTGACTTTTTCCACTCAATTCTTCCTTTATAATTCACAATTGTGTCTATCACTCAATTCTTAGCCTACTTTATAACTCACAATTGTGACTTTATATTACGCAATTCTGAGATAAAAAGATGTAAACTCGCAATTGTGAGAAAAAAGTCAGAATTGTGAGATAAAATGTCACAATTACGTTTTCTATGTGTTATTCTGTGGCAGATAAAAAGCTTTCATAGTTTACAGCACAATAGGCTACACAGAAGAAAATAAAACTTATTTCATTTAATACTCTTGGCAGCCAGTAAATCACGGCACAAAACACACTGCGGTCGGTCGGCACAGCACAAATCCTGGTCCTTGTTGTTTTCATTGCAAGTGAAGTGAATTGAATGCAGCCGGGTTGTAGTTTCTGTTACCTTGAATTATTTTGTTTTTGGTTTCCAAGTGTAGGCCTATGTCATGAAAACATGTCCACGTACTTCCCTGACCACCTCTCGCAACTGTCTTGACAACGTCGAGTATGTAAAACTTTGAAGTGACTCCCATGAGCCCAGTGACGTAAAAGTCGCGTGAATTCTGATTCGCCTGTTCAGCCTGAGGTCGCATTGCAAAACATCTGATTTGTTTCGAGGCACTTATCCATGTGGTTTGTGCTGTTCACGCTGTCCTGACAAAAAAAACAGATTTGGGCCACATATACCTGCATGCAGTCTGAATCAAAAAGCTGGATTTGCCCATCTTGGCACATATACGACTTCATATAAAACACAAATCTGGTGATCTTAGACCTTCTATAGAGGATATAAACGGGAAAGCGTCCCTCTATTGAGCGGGAATCAGAAGAACACACGGCTCCTTGTGAGTTCTCATCAATGGAGGCTTTTTCCCAGGCTTGCACTGCCATGAATGCGTATTTGCTCGTGTGGAGTCTATGAATGTGTCACTGTTACACACACTACACTTCCTCATCTCCTCAAGCTACTGGCTTTTTGCTTCTGGCGGGGACATTTATCTCATTAGTCATCATTCCCACAATCTAAGGGACTTTTCTTGTGCCGCAGCTTCTCCTGTTGTGTTTTGCTGTCTGCAGATTGTAATCCTCACCTGACCTGAATCATTACAAGGCCTGGTGTTATGTAAAGAACCATGTCATGGTGAAAGGCTTATTTTCAGTGAGCCAGAGACATTCAGTTTTTATATTCATCCCATAAAGAAACACCCAAATATGTGCATGGGTCAATGATGCTCAAAGAATATGCATTCACTCTATTAAAAAAATACTGTTTCAACCCAATTTTAGGTCAAATATGGACAAACCCATTTAAAAAAATAAGCCAATGGCTGGGTTTGTCCACATTTGACCCAAAGTTGGGTTGAAACAACCCAGCATTTTTTAGAGTGTTCAAAAGTACGTTGGCATAATCTTTATTTCTCAAGGAGAAAAAAGCAGTGAGGAAGTTTTATTCATTTGTAAATTATTATTTGACATCATGGACAATACGTTTTTGTTTTGTTTTTTTAAATATCAGATAATTTGATGGGTTAGTTCAAACTGCCATACGGTGCAACTCCCTAAACGCAGTAATATTTGTGAATTAATAATAATAAAATAAAATAATTTAAAAACTAGCACTTTACCAAGGAAGCGTATTGCATTCACTTGAAGAAAAAAAAAAACTACTCTGTTTTTCTGAATTAACGAGTTAATTATCTCAGAATTACGAGATAATTTTTCATGGAAAAAAAACTTTTTGCTCTGTTTTTCTGAATTAATGACTTGATTATCTCAAAAATTAGGAGTAACTCATTAATTCATAAAAACAGAGTGACATTTTTTTTTCAAGAAAAATATATCTCATAATTCTGAGATAATTAACTCGTTAATTCAGAAAAAAACAGAGCAAAAACTTTTTTCCATGAAAAATTACCTTGTAATTCTGAGATAATTACCTCATTAATTCAGAAAAACCGAGCAACAACTTTTTTCCATGAAAAATTATCTCGTAATTCTGAGATAATTAGCTCGTTAATTCAGAAAAACAGAGTCGATTTTGTTTCCGCAAGTGAATGCAATACACTTCCGTACTTTACAGTATGTTTCAGATGTTAACATGTAGTGAACTATCAAAGAAAAATTAAATCAAACGTTGTACCTGTGATCAATTAACATTAATTTGGACTAACAGGTCCTTATTGTGAAGTTTTACCAAAAAAATGAACTTTTCAACGAATTAAATAATGTTTTTATTAGGTTAGGGTTTTACTTGAAAACTTGGCATTTTTAAAAAAAGTTTTATTTATTTATTTTTTTACGTCAATGACATTCATATTTGTCATAGACCCCTATAAATACAGAATCAAACTGATCATATCAAGAAAGATCCCTGAGCCTTTTCTGTTTAAGATACATTTAAGAACAAGAAAGCCATCTTTTTCTAACCAGATTTCCTAACACTAACAGTCAGTCAGCCAATGTCACATCCTCACATCATCATAATACAAACCATCTGGAAATATCAATAATCTACCTGTTACAAAAGTTCTGGTAAGATCAACAGGAGAGAGGAAGTGCTTTCGATGTCCAGTGGGACAGAAGAAACTGGCCTGCGTGTTTTCTCTGAGTATAGGGTGTGTGATGCCAAAACACGGATCAAATGTAACATTACTTCTAGCCTGCCTCTTTTTTAAATCATAATATATCATTCCACTTTATTAAAGCCGGAACAAAACAACACGTGAATGAGGATTTATTGTTGAATACTGCCACCGTGTGGCTGAAACATTTACGGTTTAAAGCCAAAGCGCAGCGTGAACCGAGCGCGTGAACGTTTCCAAAATAGTCTCTGACGTTTCTTACGCAAGATGCAGAAACAAAACAAGAATAAAAGGCGAATAAACTGTTTTTTTTCTGGCGGGTGAGAGACTAATATACAGCCAGGAGCCATTTACAACACCACAACTAAACTCACTGAGCGTCAACTATGATTGTTTATTCTAGCTTCAGTCTGAAGTAGGCCTATATGGAAATGTTGGACATTAATTTACTTGTATGTCATACTATTTAATTTAATTAGAATTATTTAACATTTAAACTAAAATCCCCCTGTAGTCAATAATTTTATCCCTTAAAAATCACATTTGATCACCAAAATGACTTTTCCTTGAAAAATAATTCGTCATGCCTCAAAATAGCTTGAATGTAGGTAACTCTACCCTTGCGTTATACGAAGATAAAGTAATCATTCTAGTTTAATAAGATTAGGGAAGCCCACATCACAGTTAATAAATAATATATATTTTTTTAAAAATTCATACTTAATTTAAGATTGGATATCTTGATATTTGTAAAATATTTTAAAGTTATTAAAGTGTTTTTGAAAGTAGTATAAAAGTTTTTCAAAACGTTTTTCTTACCGAAGTATAATTATTATATTATAGTTAATAAATTCGAGGAGGTCCAGAGATAAGCAACTATAAAGATAAAGTTTTAATAATCGTTCTAATTCTAAGAGAGTAGCAAAGATCACACAACAATAACGATAATGGTCAGTGGACTCACATTCAGACTTTTTCTTCAGCCGAAGAACAACATTGACAGCCAATCAGATGCTGAACATGTATTGGCACATGAGATGGATTGACATTCTTGAAATTTTACAATGTAAAATATGGCGCTTAAAGACATCATTCCCACCCGCAGACACTTCACCTTTTCTGCCGACTTAAAAATAACAGCAACACTTGCTTTATTACAGTAAAGGTCAGACTAACTCTTCCCAAGCTCACTAAAACTCTTCTGAGAACATGATGAAATGATTAGCAGTTTATGGACAAACATCGGTTTGCTTTCACAGCTGTCGTTTTAATCGACAATTAAAACATCTGAAAAACAGATTACCATGTAAATTATACATAACTTTTGTGAAACAGGCCGTAAGCACATTTAAGTAGAAGCATTTCACACATTGTATCTCTTAATATACAGATATTAATCTATGATGAAATTCACATGAATTCCTTTTTTAAAGGTTTATGAAAGTTCGTGTATTACATAAGTGGGACATGTGCAAGCATGTTTCAGCCACATAAGAGAATACAAATCATAATTATGAGATAGTCACATTAAAATCTCCTAATTATGAGATAATCCGTCAGTTATGAGATACTTCATAATTACGAAGAAAAGTCAAAACTGACAAAGAACATATATGAGATAACGGTTAAATCCATAAAAGTAGTAATTATGAGATAAAAAGCAAAATTATGAAAAAGTTTACATTTTGAGCTACTCACGACAATTTTCTTAATGACGTTGTATCTCCAAATTATGTTCGAATCTCAATTTCGACTGATTTCATATTCATAAAGTTGACTTATGTGGCAGAAACAGGCTCCCATACCCACAGCAAGCTGGAGTAAAGCGTAATGGCTTCTTGAAATCTGCGGTTTGAAAGACAAACGTCCAACACAGTGTGGCGAGAGCGATCCACATGTACAGTATGGCTCATAACGGCTTCCTCAGTCAAATCTGGAAACCTCACGTCATGAGACACGTTATACATCCACTAAAACAGAAAACAAACAATATGAAGAAAACAACTACTGAAACATTGCCTGTATGAATGCAGAATTGTGTCGCCTAGAAAAAAATAACAGCAATGTCCCTCTTAATAAAAATTACCCTTATCATAATCAGAACACAACATACAAACTTAAACCAGTACTGTCGACCATTTTAATTATATTCTTACTTTGCCTATTTCCATTAAATGTTGTGAATATTACTAGCTAAAGTAGAGCAGTTTTCCCGAAATGAATGCCAATGAGAGAATAAATATCATTAGCAGCATCAGCACATGTTGTCACAGCATAAGGGTTTCAGATTGTGCTGACGAAGGCCAGGAGGAATGACCTCTTTCCTTCAGAGGTCACACAGCTCCGAGCCTGGGAAAACACTAGGGGTGGAGTACACAACATCACTTTCTTTCTTATCAGAGCGTGTAAATCAACGACGCACAAATTATGAGGTACCGAGTGACTCTTCGTCCTGAATGATGATCGGAGGGTTTTGATACCTCGTTGTTCCCACAGGGTGTGTGTGTGCGTTACGATGCGAAGGACTTCTGGGAATATTCGAGCTTGGTTTACCAAAAAATGAAGTGCGTCATATTTTACTCACCCTTGTGTTCCAAACCTGTGACTAGATATAAGCAACAGATAAAATATATAAACAATGTTTTTTGTTCATTTAATGACAGTCAATGGGGTCCAAAAAACACGGGAACCCACGGACTTTCATTTTATGGAATTTTTTTTTTTTTATAAATATAATTTATGATCAAAAGTTAATTATGACAAAGGTTAAATTATGAAAAAAAAGTCAAAATTGAGATGTTACAAGTCAAATAATTGAGTTGTTGTTTCACATGTGATAATTGATATAATCTAATTTATCAGTCAAAATTGAGAATTCTGAAAAAAAGTCAACGTATGACTCAATTTGGACAATTATGAGATAGTAAAAATTATAGCATATTAAGTCAGATTGGAGAGGTCATAATTCAAATAATTTAGAGGTTATGTTTTTCACGTCATAGTTGAGATAAAAAGCGAAGTTATCAGTCGAAATTAAGAGATCTAGCAAAAATGTCAATTTATGACTTAATTTTGACAATTATGAGATTACAAAGTCAATTATGGAATACAAAGTCAAAATTTAGATGAGTCAAATAATTGAGATATGTTTCACATGTCATAACCAAGATAAAAAGCTAAATTATCAATCCAAATCGAGAATTTTAACAAAAAGTCACATTTGGACAATTATGAGATAGTAAAAAATTATGGCATACTAAGTCAAAATTTAGATGCCATAAATGAAATAATTGAGTTGTTTCATGTCATAATTGAGATAAAAAAGCTAGATTCTTAGTCAAAATTTAAAATTCAGACAAATGTTAACTTGTGACTGAATTTTTACAATTATGAGATAATAAAAATTATAGCATATTAAGTCAAAATTGAGATGCCATACCTCAAAGGCATACTAAGTCAAAATTTTTGTCATAAGTGAAATAATTGAGTTGTTTCATGTTATAATTGGGATAAAAAAGCTAGATTATCAGTCAAAATTTAAAATTTCTGACAGTGACTCAATTTTGACAATTATGAGATAGTAAAAATAAAAGTCAAAATTTAGATAATTCAAATAATTGAGAAATGTCATAACTGATATAAAAAGCTAAATACTCAATCCAAATCGAGAATTCTGACAAAAATGTCAAATTTGGACAATTATGAGATAAAAAATTATGGCATACTAAGTCAAAATTTAGATGCCATAAGTGACATAATTGAGTTGTTTCATGTCATAATTGAGATAAAGCTAGATTCTCAGTCAAAATTTAGACAAATGTCAACTTGTGTCTCAATTTTTACAATTATGAGATAATAAAAATTATAGCATATTAAGTCAAAATTGAGATGCCATACCTCAAAGGCATACTAAGTCAAAATGTATGTCATAAGTGAAATAATTGAGTTGTTTCAAGTTATAATTGAGATATAAAAGCTAGATTTAAAATTTCTGACAGTGACTCAATTTTGACAATTATGAGATAGTAAAAATTCAAGTCAAAATTTAGATAATTCAAATAATTAAGATATGTTTCACATGTCATAACTGATATAAAAAGCTAAATTATCAATCCAAATCGAGAAATCTGACAAAAATGTATGAGATACTAAGTCAAAATTTAGATGTCGTAAGTGAGTTGTTTCATGTCGTAATTGAGATAAAAAAGCTAGATTATCAGTCAAAATGTAAAATTCGGACAAATGTCAACTTGTGACTCAATTTGGACAATTATGAGATGAAAATTATAGCATATTAAGTCAAAATTGAGATGCCATACGTCAAACTTTTTGCCTGAATTCTCTTCTTTTTGTCATAATTATGGCTTGTGTGACCAACATTTTCAAAAGATCTTCTTTGTGTCACAGAAGTCAGTCAGTCATACGGGTGTAGAACATAAGAGTGAGTAAATGACAGAATACACACATATACACACCCTTTAAGCTACTGCATATTGTCGATCACCAAAGAAAACGCCACATAGACTTGCATTGCAAGTGATAGTTTACTATACAGTAAAAGCATAACTAGTAGTTAACCTGGAATATTCCTCGAACGCAAAATGCCGCAATTTGGAGAGGGAAAAAAAACGTAACTTAATGTGATTTAACTCAAGCATGAAGGTTATTGTACACCAACAAAACAACAGAAGACTCATGAGCAGAAGAGAGACATATAACGAACACACCAGTGCTAATGAGGAACAGTTGCCGCTGAGGTAATGAGCTGTTTCTAACCGGTGTGGGGCACGCAGTGTCACATGGGAAATAACCAGGAGCAGAAGACCTTTAGTAAACGTTTTGAAACCTAAATGAATGAATGTGAGCATTAAGCAGGCTTGAAATCTTAAAGCAATGCTTGATAAAGCGTTAAGAATCAGTAAAAAGCAAGTAAAAAAAGCAAGGTAAAGATTGAAATAGTATATAATATAATCTCTCAAAATAGTAGCAATATTCTCTGATTGCAGCCTGAGCGCTTACAGCATAACATCTCTATAAAAGAGGAAGTCAGACAGCCATTAAAGTGATGGTGTGTCCGATTTTCCCGTTTGCGAGTTCCTCTCCTCTACAGGGCACGGAGACTGTGCAGTGCCAGGAGATGAAGATGTATAGCACGTGTCTTTGTGCTCTAGATTTACACAGTGAGCCTTTTGAGCGTCACTGGCCCCTAGCAAACGTGTCCGAAATGTGGATTAGCTATATAATGATATCAGTCTGAAACTGTTTTAAGATTGCATAGAAAGTACTGGGTTGTGCTCAAAGACGTCAGAAAATACAAAGCATGTGTGTGTGTGCACTGAAACATGCCTCGTAAGCAAAATAACTCTTCTTTCAAGGCACAACTAGTCTAAGATACTCAAAGTGTGCAAAATGAAGCTCAAGTTCGATTATCTTCTCACTTTCAGAGGATCATGTTGGTACTTTTCAGCATATGCATAGTCTCGCAATTAAATTCAGTTTGGCACTTCTGCTGAAGTTAGCAGAGATGCGATCCGTTCGGTTGGTTTATTTCCAAACAATAATTCATAATCCGTTTATAATAGTTTATTCGTTTCTCCAGACGACTCGACCCACAAAATCAAGTTGCTCGTAAAACGTATTTTACGGTTGGTCGTTAATCTCTTTGTTTCATTGGTTTGGTGTCAGTTGGTTCACGATGACCTGGATAACAAAGTCCTTCTGGATCTTGGTGTCCTGCAGGCGGGTCTTGTCTGTCAGGAGTTTTCCGGAGAAGAACCAGCGCTGGTGGGCCAGGTCAATGTCCTCCTGAGCTTGCAGTTGCTTCTTTAGCTGGCCGATGGAGTCCGTCATGCTGGCGTTCAGGCGCAGGTCTTTGCCGGTGGAGAGCCGAACCTTCAGCTGGAACTCTTTCTTCTGTGCCGTCTGGGGCTCAGGGTTATCCGACAGGTCTTCATCGCTTCTTTCTGATATCAGATTGACAGGCGGGGCCAGGCAATAAACCGGGAGCTGGTAACGGTTTCCGAGTTCATCGTAACACTCGGTCAGGGATCCTAGAGTGATTGAAAGAATATAAACAACCGTCAGTGATGAGGGGTAAAAACGTGCTTCAGATATTTACATTTACATTAGCGGACGCTTACAGCTGAGGACTAACCCAAGCGAGTCAAAAACAACGCAAGAAGTGCTCAAAATACAAAGTTCTGACATTGCTCGAAGTAGCATAAGCCGGATAAGCGAGGGTTTAAAGGAGTAGTTCACTTTTAAAAAAACTTTTGCTGATAATTTACTCACCCCCATGTCATCCAAGATGTCCATCTCTTTCTTTCTTCAGTCGAAAAGAAATTCAGGTTTTTGATGAAAACATTCCATGATTTTTCTCCATACAATAGACTTCAATGGGAACCAAACGGTTCAAGGTCCAAAAGACAGTTTCAGTGCAAACTGTTCTAAGGGTTAAACGATTGCAGACGATGAATAAGGGTCTTATCAAGCGAAACGATCGCTCATTTAAAAAATAAATTAAAAAGTTTAAGTTTTATAAGCTCAAATGCTCGCCTTGCTTTGTTCTGTGATGCGCATTTGTGACTCTCCTGTTCGAACTCGTTCATCAAAATGAACGAATCTTTTCCAGAGTCAACTCGTTCATTTCGTTTGTTGAATGAACTAAATGACACGAAAAAAGATTCGTTCATTAAACGAGTTCGAACAGGAGGGTCACGAACACGCATCACAGAACAGAGCAAGGCGACCATTTCAGCTTATAAAACTTAAACTTTTTTTTTTTTTTTAAATGAGCGATTGTTTCGCTTGATAAGACCCTTATTCATCATCTGGTGTCGTTTAAAGCCCTTTGAACAGTTTGCAGTTTGTACTGAAAGTGTCTTTTTGACCTTTAACCATTTGGACCCCACTGAAGTCCAATTTATGGAAAAAAATCCTGGAATGTTTTCATCAAAAACCTTAATTTCTTTTGCGACTGAAGAAAGAAAGACGTGGACATCTTGGATGACATGGGGGTGAGTAAATTATCGGCAAAAGTTTTTTTTTTAAAGTGAACTACTCCTTTAAAGGAAAAGGAAAGATTTTTTTTTTTCTACAATGAGAGAAAATGCACGTCATAATTTGCACAAACACTTTGTTACTAAATGCTGCTTCATTATGGTGAAAACTTCCCTTATGGGCCAGTAAAGAAAATAAAGGTCACACTCTAAAAAATGCTGGGTTGTTTTAACCCAATTTTGGGTCAAATATGGACAAACCCGAAATGTTGGGTTAAAAATGTAATGTAAAAATTTAACCCAACGGCTGGGTTAGTCCATATTTGACCCAAAGTTGGGTTAAAACAACCCAGCATTTTTTAGAATGCAGGGTGTGAAGATAATAAGCTATTTAAATAGATAAATACAGTTATTTAATAGAAACAAATCATTTATTTGATCAAAATATAAATATTAATGAATTTATTCTGAATAGGTGAAACTCGAAAAATTTGAGTATCGTGCAAAAGTTCATGTATTTCAGTTCAAATTAAACGGTGAAAGTAATATATTTCGTATATATAACTATATATGCATGATTATACTTTCCACAGGGCCGACAATACTGTGTTTTAACAGAATATTTTTATTGATTTCATGTAATATTCTAATTTTCTGAGATTTTGAAATTGGGGTGTAAGATGCAAGACATAACATCAAAATAAAAAAAATATTATGTAAAAAAAAAATGATATAGCTCCACCCCCTGATCCTTAAACCCACCCAGCTCCACCCCCCCTGATCCCTAAACCTTCCCAGCTCCACCCCCCGATCCCTAAACCTACTCAGCTCCACCCCCTGATCCCTAAAACCCACCCCTAAACCTACCCAGCTCCACCCCTGATCCCTAAACCTTCCCAGCTCCACCCCCTGATCCCTAAACCCACCCCTAAACCTACCCAGCTCCACCCCCGATCCCTAAACCCACCCCTAAACCTACCCAGCTCCACCCCCTGATCCCTAAACCCACCCCTAAACCTACCCAGCTCCACCCCCTGATCCCTAAACCCATCAAGCTTCACCCCCTGATCCCTAAACCCACCCCTAAATCTACCCAACTCCACCCCTCAGATCTGGATCCGACTCCACCCCCTGGATCTTGTGTACTGCAATGAGGTGCTACTCACTTTTTTGGCAACTTAAATTTTGGTTATCACACAGTACTACATTTATGATGCTTTATTGTACTGCAATTTTTTGCAGCACCACATCACTGCTTTTTGATTTATGGAAAAGAGCAGCATGAACATTCATCCAAACTTCTCCTATTTCTGTTCCAAAACAGCAAGTTGTCACACACAAAGCTGGTTTCATCACAGCCAATCAGTGTAAAGACTCTCACCATGTGGTAACGTAATGTTGGCTCCGTCCACTATAGCCTGAGCCAGCTCGTGATCGCTACACTCCAGGGCCACAGCGGCAGCTTTTAGGGCGTCCCAGATCTCCTTGCGGCCCTCAAACGCCGGAGCCGTGTCCCAGAACTCATCTCTCTTACTGCGCAGCTGCCCCTCCGTCATTGGGTAATCGCTCTTCCACTTCAGCTTGTCTTTCTTCAGGGGCTCGTTGCGACCTGTGAATTAACACTAATGTGAGAGAAGTGTAGGCTATACAACATTTCCTGGAACAATGGCTTAGCAGAAAGACAGAGTAGCTTTGATGATCAAAAAGACGACCACATTACTTTGACCATTGGGCAAGATTTGTACTATTCCAGTGAATTATGTTAAGGTTAGTTTCACATATGAAGGTCGACAAAGACTTTCCGTGTGTATTTTCGATGGCAAACAGAGAACTGAGTGGAATGTAAAAGTAATAGTCTAATAAACAAGAATTGACATGTAGTGTATTTTAATGATTGTAGAGTAATGGAAAATTTAGAAGGAACATTTAGATCAAGAAAGTAAAAAAGAGCATATTTCATCACAAATGACTTCAAAAAATACAAATAAAAAAATGCATACACTAACGTTCAAACATTTGAGGTAGAAATCTTACAGATCCCAAACTTTTGAATGATAATATGTATAATTATTATGCATTCGTTTTTATTATAATATTTTTGTATCCATAGGTGATGAAATGTGCCATTTCTACTTTGATTATTAAAGTTAATATTGTGTGTGCATATATATATATATATATATATATATATATATATATATTAGGGCTGTCAAACGATTAATCGCGATTCGGATACAATTAAAACGATTAATCGCATCCAAAATAAAAGTTTGTGTTTACATAATATATGTGGGTGCACTGTGTATAATTATTTTATGTACATAAATACACACACATGCATGTATATATTTAAGAAATATTTTCATGTATATACTGTATATAGATTTATATAATTTATATTATATATAAATATTATATTTTTAAATAATATTTTTTATTAAATATACATGCATGTGTGTGTATTTATATATATATATATATATATATATATATATAAAGAATAATTATACACAGTGCACCCACATATATTATGTAAACACAAACTTTTATTTTGGATGCGATTATTCACTATTGTTTTCAGCCCTATATATACACACACAAGATTTAGATATACATAAATCAAGCATTAATTAGTATCAATATAACACACACATGATTGTGGAGTACAGTGACTTTAGTCTCAAAATAAAAGCAGAAGTGAACTATACACACACATGACTGAGCAAAGTTTGAGCATTTATGACTGTTTGTGTGCAAATGACGGTTCAATTCAGCCTTCATCCATCCAGTTCACATCTCACAACAACCCTGAGGGCAACAGCCAAACTCTAAACACCCCCGCCATGACCCTGAAGTTATCTGGTCAAACACAGCTCTTGTTTTGAATCAACAATGATATGTTGAGCCCAACACACTGCTGATTAGGACTGATAGTGATATTGCTGGATAGTGGATAAGGAGTGATGTTGTCCAGTGATTTATTTGCCTTTGTTTTCTTTATTTGTAAGGAAATTTGATAAGGAAAGTTAGCCACATTAAAATTTGTATGTGTTTGATTTATGTTGGTGCTTTTGATTAAACACGTGCGCTTGGACGTGGCTTTTAATGGTGATACTTTTGTTATCTTTTAAGACTTTTGTAATTAAGTCTCTACAAACTATATGAAAATTTGGGTTAAAGGAACACTCCAACTTTTTTGGACTTGAGCTTATTCGCTGTATACCCCAGAGTTAGATAAGTCATACCTTTTTCATCTCCGTGCGTGCTGTATCGCTATCTGATGCACCCACCGCTAGCCTAGCTTAGCACAAAGACTGGATTTAAATGGCTACAGCTAGCATAATCCCAATAGCATTTACATTTATTCATTTAGCTGATGCTTTTATCCAAAGCGACTTACAATTATTATATATGTCAGAGGTCGCATGCCTCTGGAGCAACTAGGGGTTAAGTGTCTTGCTCAGGGACACATTGGTGTCTCACAGTGGACTCGAACCCGGGCCTCTCACACCAAAGGCATGTGTCTTATCCACTGCGCTATCACCACCCAATAATGAGATACAAAATAAACCAAACATTTTCCAATTTGCATGTTGTGATTTGTATAGTCGCAGAGTGTACAAATAACAAGGTAATAATGGACAGATATCTTTTAACCGTATAAATATTGGGAACTATAATCTCAAAAGGTGAAGCACTTCTGAGAATATAGTTCACAATATTTAAATGGTTAAAAGATGGCTGTGTCTCATATGATCTTGTGATTTGTACACTCTGTGACTATACAATTCATAACACGCAAATACGAAAATGTTTGCATTATTTTGTCACTTATTTGGATTAGTATGCTAGCTGTGGCCATTTACATCCAGTCTTTGTGCTAAGCTAGGCTAGCAGTGGCCAGTGGGTGCGTCAAACAGCACGCACGGAGATGAAAAAGGTATGTATGGACTTATCTAACTCTGGCGGATACAGTGAATAAGCTCAAGTCCAAAAAAGTCAGAGTGTTCCTTTAAGATTTTTTGGGCAATATATTGGTTATCGGCTTTCAAATAAAGCATTAACGGTATCGGCAAAATTTGAATATCAATGCATCCCGACAAATTTAGCTTTACTTTAAATATTTGATGAAGTCTGAATAGCAAATAGGAAAATGTTTGCGTTATTTTGTCACATTAGGATTAGTATGCTAGCTGTAGCCATTTACATCCAGTCTTTGTGCTAAGCTAGGCTAGTGGTGGGTGCGTCAAACACGCGAGTTTCGCACGGAGATGAAAAAGGTATTTGTGGACTTATATTACAAGTAAGTAATGTTTAGAAGATTTAGCTGTAATTTGGACAGGAACAGACAGCCCAGCCGTAACTGCTCTTTTACAGGAAGTCACTGTTACTCAGTACAATTAAGCAATAATGATGCTTGCCTTAGCAAACATCTCTAATAATAAACCTGCTGTAGAAATAAGGAAGTTCAGGTTGATGGTGAGATAGTAGGTGGGTGGACCATGTGTGATTCAGTGCTTTCCCATCGATCCTGCTCTGACCGTGGCCAAGTATCCAAAGGACATCATCAAAACACATTATTTATAGCATGGCCAGCTTAGGTGTAATTACAAATTAGCAGGACATAAATTGTGTAATTTACAGCAATCCAATCCTACACAGGATTCAAGTATTACAGGAAGTCTGGTCCTCTAAACTGATTAACACTGTAAAGCCTGACATATGAAATGAGTCAGAAAATCTAAATTTTGAAATGGTAGTTTATAAAACCTCCAGGCAAAAAGAAAATTGGCTAACACTTTACAATAAGGTTCATTAGTTAATGTATGAACTAACCATGAGCAATACATTTATTACTGTATTTGTTCATCTTTGTCGCATTGTGTGTTCGTGTTCTTTCATTTTTTTAATTAACTAATGTCAACAAGATTTTAATAAAGTATTAGTAAATGTTGAAATTAACATTAACAAAGATTAATAAAAGCTGCACAAGTACTGTTCATTATTAGTGTTACCGAAAATTGTATAGTGATTATTATTATGATGATAAGTGAGAATATGAAGCTCAAACCCAAATTCAGAGACCCAAAACTGAACAGAAATATGCAAAAATTTGTGCAGATGCTGACATTATGGAAGAAATGAAATTCTGATCGCTTGTAAAGTAAATCAATGAGAACTTTATAACAGTATAACACACCAATTACATAAAAATACATGTAAAAAATATCAGTTATCACTCTCAATAATATAATGTAGTAAGATGATATTTAAATGCTTAGTCTTATGATCAAAACTCTGCTATTTTGGAACAGAATGCAAAACAATGATGATTGAGAAATAAACCTTCCTCAAAAGCCTAAAAAAAAGACCAAGTGATTATTAAGAGACAAAATCGAAATTATTCTCGCATGTACTTTATAAAAATAAGCAAAGATTTTAGAGCAAAAAGACACATGAACAACGAGCTGAAGGTGGATGTTTTTAACCATTATACTAAAAAGCAGTTAAAATAAATATGAAGGTTATTCAGCGATGTTTTGATCATGTTGATAATTTAAAGACTGTACAAATATGATACAGTAGGGTTAAACCAGCCTTTCAAACTGACATGCAGAGACAAATGGTGGTTTACAATCCAACGTTGGTCAAATAAAAGAAACCACTGACAATGTGAGGAACTCTAAAAGCTCCCAGAAGGAGAGTGAACTAAAGACGGGCCATCTCTCATTATTCTACATTTCTTTGGTCACTTGTCAGGATAGTGAAAAATAGTCTGCAAATTGTGAAAACAACTTAAAGGAGTAGTTAACTTTAAAAAAAAACTTTTGCTGATAATTTACTCACCCCCATGTCATCCAAGATGTCCACGTCTTTCTTTCTTCAGTCGCAAAAGAAATGAATGTTTTTGATGAAAACATTCCAGGATTTTCTCCATATAATGGACTTCAATGGGAACCAAACGGTTCAAAGTCCAAAAGACAGTTTCAGTGCAAAATGCAAACTGTTCAAAGGGCTTTAAACGATTCCAGGCGATGAATAAGGGTCTTATCAAGCGAAACGATCGCTCATTAAAAAAAAAAAAAGTTTAAGTTTTATAAGCACAAATGATTGCCTTGCTCTGTTCTGTGATGCGCGTTCGTGACTCTCCTGTTCGAACTCGTTCATCAAAATGAACAAATCTTTTTTCGAGTCATTTGGTTCATTCAACAAAAACGATTCCCTTAGAACAGTTTGCACTGAAACTGTCTTTTGGACCTTGAACCGTTTGGTCCCCATTGAAGTCCATTATATGGAGAAAAATCCTGGAATGTTTTCATCAAAAACCTTAAATTCTTTTCGACTGAAGAAAGACAGACGTGGACATCGTGGATGCCATGGGGGCGAGTAAATTATCAGCAAAAGTTTTTTAGTGAACTACTCCTTTAATAATAATTTGTCAGTATTTGCACGATTAGAAGGAAGTCGCTTGTCTCATAGGTTCACACACACTTGTGATCTAGTCAATGACTCACACATCAAAGGAGATAAGGTTGAGCCTTGAGTCAGCAGGACACTGTTTATATAAACCAGCTTATTTCACTTTATGATAATATGCCACAACAGGAGACAATGTGTGTGTGCAATGCAGAATGCGGCTGTCAAAGTTCAGCATCTAATACATGCTCTAGTCAAATGATATGTAAATGCACTCGCTCTCTGTGTCTTTAGGCCAACAGCTGTAAGGAGCCGCATGAAGTTGCATTCTTCTCCTGTAATTCTCTCGTTACACACACACACACACACCCCCAACGCAAGCTGCGACAGATTCTCTTCCCCTCCCGTCGTTACAGCAGGAACACGAGATGTTCCCGTTTCCACACGCGGCGGCATTATAAAATAATGTGTCTCTTCCTCAGAACTGATTACATTGTTTTATTAGTGCTGGGAAAATATGTTTATGACGTTTTGTTTTGGTTTGCGATGAGCATGAACTCCTGTGGGTCACATTAGACCAGACAGACAATAACATGCATCTTTGTTCTCGCAGGAAACGTACAACACACACACACACCACGTAAAACTCTGATTCTCAAACAAATGACTCTTGTGAACTGATTCTTTTCAGTCAAAAACACTCACACTTATACACATTATTCACATTATAAAGATGTAATATATGTATTAAGTATTTAAATCTTTAAAATAAGTAATAATAATTTTCAATTATTAGTCTTGAGGAGTGAGGACGTCGCTCTGTTAATAAATAACAATAAGATTCTCAAGTAACTCTTATGAACTGATTCTTTTGAGTGAAAGAACACAAACAAATCAGTTTTATATTACGCAAAGTTTGAAAAGTTAAAAACTCTTACAAACAAAAAACGTATTAAATTTCATATTAAGCAAAATTCAATCATTTTATTAAATCAGTAATAATAATAACAGCTGTTTAATCAGATTCACAAAACAAATAATCAAACTGATTCTTGTCTTTATCTATTATTTTTCCCCTGACTGTTTAGGACTGATGTTTAATTATGAAGCGACACATGCTTGAGAATGCATTGCTGTTATTTAATAAACTTCCCAAACTTTACTCTGGTGCAAAGATGTTCTTGACTCGAGAAAAGCACGTAATGTATATGTATATATAACGCCCATGTGGAAAAGAAAATCTTATCTCCTGTTCAAAGCAAGAAACCCCCACACACACACAGACACACACAACCTGCTGAAGTACAGATAACCCTACAATACACTGATAGTGGTTGCAAGATGTCAGTGTCCTCAAGACTTTCACTGAGAGAAGTCAAACGCATGTCACTGCCGCTGTGACCGTCACTGTTCCTGCGAGGGAAAGAAATTCTTCCTATCCCAAATGATGTTTCACTTCAGCTCATGGCAAACGGAGCCAGCATGCACGGGCATGCCCTGAGACGAGACTCCGCAGCCTGAACGACTGCCGGCTCCAACATGCACACAGGTGGAAAAACACACACACACACACACACACACACACACACACACACACAACAGAGAGGAGACTGATAATGATCAAAGCTGTCACTCTTTCCAAGGGCCTGAATTGTCACATCTACAAAAAGGGAGTTTCAGAATCATCACAAAACAAACTGACATGAAGAAAAGCTGAAGTACTAGGCATAGTACCAGCAGACACCAGTCAAATGAATCTTATTTGAAAGTTAAACCAATTATGATGGTTGGAGACACATGGAAGTGATAGAAACTGTGGTACAGTAATGGCAAGCATATTAGTTTGATACACTGCAAGCATATCTTGTATGGTTGACATTTACATGTTGGGTATTTACATGATAATAACATGGTACTTTTTGCTGATGCCACCCACAATACACCTGATATTTGCATGTTTTCAAACAAGGAAACAAACAGGTTATGACAATCACAGAGTCTAAGCAACAGGTTTGTGTGTGTGTGTGTGTTTAGTCTACAGCAAGAGTGTGTCTCACCTCCACGTTTCCTCTGCGTCCTCGCTCCGCGTGACTCCGCGCGCTCGCGCCCCACGCATCCTCCCATGATCGTCAAACAAACGCAGGCCACATCTCAAGACAGCACCTATACACACTCCTGCTTTATCATCATTTGAATTGCCAAACGTAAACCACTACTAAAACTCAAGATAAACTAGTTATACTATGGGTGGTGTGTCAACAGTACGTACGTACATCAAAGGGAAGTCCATCCAAGCAACGAAAACAAAACAAAACAAAACTCCAGACTGAGGGTCTCGCGATGATCTAATAACGGTTATCTGGCACGAGACTTGCGTTTAGTTATTTCTGGCTTTATCCCACGAGCTAACTTACAGCAGCTAACTTAGCAGCCAGAGCACGAGCTTTTTGCCTGAACTCATAAAGTCCGGTCTAAATTGAAACAAAACAAAATAAAGCTAGTATTTGAGCTTTATTGACTATTTCGTGCTCGCGGTATGGTATATTAAAACATTTATGCGTCGCAAACCTGCCTGAGTTCTTTATCTCTCGCACCTTTCCTCCTCACACTGACTGAGTGATGTTTCCTACTAGTTCACGTTACTGGTGCTCATTGCGCAAGCGCTCTGACCACGTGACTCCACCAGAGCCCCTCCTCTAACGGAGCTTTCAATCAAACTCCGCTCAAAAATTACAGACAGTAAAAGAAAATGAAGTCAAAAATGGCATGATTTGAACGCGGTTTAAACGCGTAAAATAGGCAATTATAATTGCCTCTAGCGAGCACAACTCTATCAGTTTGACTGGGTGTTGTGCTTGTGTGAGTGCGTGCACTTTTCGGCGTGTTTGTAGCAGAAGGAAAAATAGTTCCATTCTTACGAAACTTTTTTTTTTTTGCTAACACAAATAAATTGAGTCCAAAAAGATATCCATACATAAAATATTAGTTTAAGAAAGTGTCGATGTTTAAAGATCGATAGCCTACGAATGATACAAACAAACCCAGTGTTTGGCATCTCCACCACTTTAGGAAAGCTCTGACTGCACTACAAAAGTCTCACTTCTCCACATCTGTGTTTCAAAATACAGTATTCACGTGATGTAAGAAAATGTTTCCAATTAATCAGATACTGCTAATCTTCTTTTAGAGACACAGAATATCGAACATTTATTTTGCTTTCTCTCTTTGATTGACTTTAAAATAAACATGGCAGAATTTATTTATTTTTTAAATAAAAATAATACGTTATTTTACCTTATTTTCAAAACCTTTTTCTCCGGACAGAAATGATTAACTAAGTTAATCTTTAAAAAAAATATGCAAAATTAACATTAAGATTATATTTTTAATGTTAAAAATGATACTTTTTAACAATAAAAAAATTAAATAAAAGTCCAGAATAAACCTCATATTACCGATACTTTGAAACAATTTGAAACATTCAAACTAGAAGCAAAAAAAAAAAAAAAAAAAAGAGAGAGAGAGAGAGATTTCCCGGCGGTTGTGCGCATGCGCGGGTGACAGCGAGTTTGAAGCTGCTGGCTGCTGGCTGCTCTTGTCTTCAGGATGGCCGCGGATAACAGTTTGCTCCTGGGTTTAGTGGAAGAATTCGTGTCTGGACAGGTTGATAGCAAGGCTACAGAAACCGCTTCAGGTAGTTCATTCATTGGCCTCTCTCATGTTTGCCACTTAAGCGCTGACCCTTCATTAAAGCTGTAACGTTACGCGAACGCCGCGTGTGTGAGATGCTGTATGAATGCCGTGAGCTAACCGCCACATCCTGTAGCTATCACACACACGCACTGTGGCTGCTGACAGCGACTGAACACAAAGATCAGACCTTTGTTAGATTTCCACAATGTTTTTGCTTAATTATATCCCAAAAACAGCAGTTGCCATGTCGTTGTTTCTCTTTATTCAGGGCTTGTGTGTTTGCCTTGCTAGTCTGCTAGCGGAGCCCTTCTGTGTGAACCTGACAGTGGACTCTGTTACTTTACTTCACTGTATTTATGTACATTATTAACTCTAAAACCTACACTTTCATATCTGATACGTGAAATTATAAGGCTTCTAAATTATCATCATGATCAAAACGTCATCTTATTGACAGTTTATACTTTTTTAGCCAGTAAACGGCCTTTTAGAATAACACCTTTAGCTGGTGTCTTGTTGCTGTGGAAATCTTTAATGATTTTTTCGGTTACACTTTATTTTAAGGTGTCTCTGTTACAGTGTAATATATTTAAGTAACGTTACTGAGTAATATTAATTAACAACATGTAACTTTACTCACTATAGGGTTGGGTTTAGGGTTAGTTGCACGTAAATATGCATCATTTACTATTATAACTGTGGTAAGTAACGTTATATGTAAGAAGGACACTAAAATAGTGTTTCTGGTTTTTATAACGTAAGGATAACTTTAATATCGTTAGTAATATTTCAAGATGAATATTGAACACTTGCTGGACTTAAGTGTTTATTTGATTATATCTAGACATCGTTTAAAGAAAACTCATGCAAGTATCGAATATGTTTGAGAAACCTTGTTTGTTCATCTCTCAAACATCTTTGTATTGCATTGCATTTTATGTTTTAAAACTTCAGTGCTTTGATCATAAAACGAAGTTTTTAAATATCATCTTTGGATATATAGATTGATAACTGATTTTTTTATGCATTTTATGCAAGTATTGTGTTCTAAATATCTCATTGATTTAAATTACAAGCTATCAGAAGTTCATCTTACTTGTTGACCATATTATATCAGCATCTGCACCAAATTGCATATTTTGGTGGGCTGTAAAACGATTAATCGCGATTAATCACATCCAAAATAAAAGTTTGCGTTATATATAATTACACAGACATGCATGTATATTTAAGAAAAATGTGTTATTAATATATCAAATAGTTATATTTATGTATAATATTAATTTTGCTTAAATATATTTGAAGTATAATCATGCAAATATTTCTTAAATACATACATGCATGTGTGTGTGTATTTATATATACAAAATAATTATACACACTACACACACATATATTATGTAAACACAAACTTTTATTTTGGATGCGATTAATTACGATTAATCGTTTCACAGCCCTAATATTTTGTGTGTTTGGACCTCTGAACAACATTGAGCTGTTTCCCCCTCCATGATCTCACTATATAAGCCATAAAAGCCTGATCTATCAAATACTATATAAAACGTATTTTTGAAAAATGTTGTTTAAGGATACAATAAACCCTGTTGTTTCATATGTCAGGGTTAAACCTGAGTGCATGTCTCTTTTAAGGTGTCAAGACTGGGCAATTCACAATCCTCCAGCTGGTTGAAGCATTGGGGTAAAGTAAACTTTATACATTTAGAGAAGTGAGTTTTTGGTGTCTTTCTCTAGTATTCAAACTGTAATAAAAGTACAGCTAATATTAGTGCTGATTTAAGGGTTGCATGTCTGTAGATTTTAGACAACAGTGATGATTGTGAAATTGGGCACCTTATTAATTTCATATCCTCCATGCAGGTTGAGTCTGACCAGCTCTCAGCCTCATACGCGTGCCAGAGGAGTTCAGCTCCTGTCTCAAGTCCTGCAGGAATGCTACAGCTGCCTATCTGAGAGGGAGGGTAAGATTTCTGTCCTTCTTAATAGTTGTTTTTATATCTTAAAGTGACAGAAGCCTAATATTCCTGCTGCTCTCTGTGATTTTAATGTTAATCAAACAACAGACTTGCTGCGAATAAGAAAAGCACTGTTTATTTAATTTGCATCTTTGTTTTTCTGTTGTTTATTTGTGCTTTTTTTTATTCAACTTTTACAAAAGCTTATAAAGACATTTTACATTGTACAAAGTAAAACATTAAATTCTACAAACTATTTTTTCCAAAATTTGAGATGTTTTTATGCACTTCTTATTTCTAGTAGTTGAATTCAAAGAGTCATGGAATATTTTATCGTCTTTGCAAAAGAAATTAAAAGAGGGTTTTATAGACATTACTTTTGGCTTTATGAATATGCAATTTCCCATGATGAATTATTAACTTTAAAATGCTATCAATTATAAATTTTTCATTTGCATTGTAAAAAGTCTGGTGAATAAAATAAAAAATCGCGAGCTTCATTGTGTCAGTAGAGAGGGTTGATCATGGTGGTTTAAATGACCTTTGACCTTTTGACATCTCACACGCATGTTTTGTTTGCAGTGGAGGTCCTGATAGCTTTCTATGAAAACAGACTGAAGGATCACTATGTGATCACTCCGCATGTTCTCCAGGGACTCAAAGCTTTGGTAAGTCGGAGTTCTTTTGCAATCAAACGAGCATGTTATTAATGATCTGTTGTGGTCACCGTGATATTTCTCATTTTTGGTCGCATTTGGTTCCTTTCAGACGAAATGCTCAGTTCTGCCTCCTGGTTCAGCTGTGTCCATTTTGAGATCCATCTTTCAGGATGTTCATGTTCAGGTGAATATTTTAGTACGAACGAATACACTCCACTCAGAAGATGTCACGACTCGACAGTAACATGGAGTTGGCCTAGTCAAGTTCCTGATCCTGCTACAAAAATGATATATTTACTAGGGATGGGCAACGATTAATCGCATCCAAAATAAAAGTTTGTGTTTACATAATATATGTGTGTGTAGTGTGTATAATTAATTTGTATATATTAATACCCACACATGCATGTATATATTTAAGAAATATGTGCATGTATATATTTTATATATATTTATTCACAATTAATATTATATATAAATATAAATATTTGATATATTAATAACACATTTTTCTTAAATATATACATGCATGTGTGGGTATTTATATATACAAATTTATTATACACACCACACACACATAAATTATGTAAACACAAACTTTTATTTTGGATGAGATTAATCGCGATTAATTGTTTCCCATCCCTAATATTTACACTATTGTTCAAAATATTGGGATCAGTAAAAACATTTTTATTAATACTTTTATTCAGCAAGGATGTTTTAAATTGATCAAAAGTGCCATTAAAAACATTTATAATGTCACAAAAGATTATTTTGAAAATTTTTCCTCTAACATTCCTATAAAAAAAATTAATCATTTTCCACAAAAATATGAAGCAGAAACTGTTTTCAACGTTGTTAATAATCAGAAATGTTTCTTGAGCATCAAATCAGCATATTAGAATGATTTCTGAAGGATCATGTGACTCTAAAGACTGAAAATTCAGCTTTGATCACAGGAATAAATTATATTTAATAGATATTATTACAGGTATTACTGTATTTTTGATCAAATGAATGCAGCCTTGCAGGTGAGCAAGAGACTATTAAAGTTTTAAATGTATATGTTCTTGGAAACAATGGTAAGCAATACAATAACTGATTGTAATTCTAGAAATTGTATTATCCGTTGTGATGGATTTTTTTCCCTGAACCTGACTACTCTACAATAATACTCACTCTAGTTGGCCAAGTCTTATACTTTTACCCTAGCGCGTCTACAGTCGACGGCGGCCGGGTGCTAATAATTCTAACTTTCTTGTTCTTGCTGCGCAGCTTAAATGACAGACAGACTTCAGCAAATGTCCTTCAGATGCTCT